CGCGAAAGATACGTGGGGGCGAGAGAGAAGTCGCGATTGGTTAAACCGCTCTCGGAAAAGCCCGCCTGGCTGCTCGACCGGCCGGCACTTCGCTCAGTTCTCCACTGCGCTCCGTCTGAAGCGGAGCTTTCGAGATATATCTCCCTGCTCTCCCTCTCACTCTCGCCCGCGGTCCGCGCGGGATCGAGACCCTTCGATCGGGATCCCGTGACGAGTGCCAGTCGCGTTTCACTCGGAAACTGCGGAAAACAGGAAATCGGAATCCCGATCCAGCCACTTTCACGAAGAGAGGAAAGGGGTGGACGAAAGGGTCGAGGGAAAGGACAACGATGTGCGAGAGGAGGCTTCTGCGAGTGCTCTAGGACGAGAGGATCTGAAAGCAGTCCGAGTGAGATACCGGGCACTCTCTCGAGAAGGACCCCGTTCGGAAACAGAAAGTGCGTTTCAGGATAATCACGGTGAGTACATTAATGCTTTCGGGTTTTTAAACGAACTTTAAAAGTACAAAGAAACAGTCGAAATTAAATTAACTTAACTTTTTATTTTACCCCATTTTTCGAATCTCTGCGAATAGAATAGGTTAAATTATTCTCGCTGACGCCACGTCGTTGCATCGGTGAACATGATTTCTTTTGTTAGTATTGATAATCGAATCTTTTAATTCCGGTATCCTTATGTTACAACGTAGTACAATCCATATTCATATCCTTTTGCTAAATAACTCTCTGTGAAAATATTTATGAATCTTTTGCCCACATATGCTTTTCTTTATTTTTACTTTGCTGTTGCGTTCCGCAAAAGATCGAGATTATAACCTTTACGAAAGTATTTCTTTTCGCGAAGGAAAATTTATACAAGTAGATGCGTTATCTGTTCTTGGAAATTCTACTGAAAATTAGAGAACAAAGCTAAAGTAGACTATATTACAAGTACAAAGTGGTACAAAGCAACGAAGCGCAGTCAGCGCTTGTAAACTTGTATGATGCTTTCTGTGTGCAGATAAGGGATGATAGGGGAAAATTAAGGAAACCTCTGTGCACACTGTTCTGTAGCTTTGTCAAGAGTATGCGCCTCTAATTTAAGTGCACAACCATGTTCCCCTGAGCTTAAAGCTTAATGCTGAAGGCACTCGGCGTTTATTCTCGGCAGATCTTTTGGAATTCCACCTGAAAATATAATCGTGGAGAGGATTACATGGTTAACCATCTATAATAATACGGGTCACTCATATTTTAGTGCAATATGATTACGTCTAGAAGTTAATTTAGAATCAATAATTTTATTATCCATCTTAAATCTCAATTTGCATCGATCACTTTCCTTCCAATCGATGATTATTTCAAAATTGAAAATTTTCAAAACCACATTGAACTAAAAACCTGTTACAATGCAAAGAACATCTATTGGATACAAGACACTTTATATTTATATTTTAAACAACATACTAATAACGTATGGTGCTTAAACTGCGGAGAAGCGCTATTCGCATCAATACGCTCGATTAACGAGATTTCCACGGAGATTTAAGGATCTCTAAGTCCCATCTGGCATATATTATAGGTCACGTCGTTTTCGTGAACTTTTACGTATTTTACTCGGAGAAACGCGTCGTCCCTCGGGCGACGCCACGTTACTTTACAGGGTCGTTCGATCCATTTCTTAATCCGGATTTTGCGCTATTTCATAGACCGCTAGTCGATCGAATCGATTCGTTGTTGGGAAAGCAGAAACTTTGAGTGCTTAATATTCTCCGATGGGTGTTCCGTGTCGATCTTATTAACAGAGACACACAGGTATCGCTACATGCGACGGTCATCAGAGATCACGGACGATGATGTACGTTGTATGTGTATGTGTGTACGTATGTGCACGTATGTTGTACGTGCAAACCGTTGCACTATCACCGCTCTTAATGAGCCTGAAGATCGTCCACAATTCGTTGCACGCGTGACCCGATGGCTTTTCCGTGACTTCATCGATTTCCGTGCGAGAATCCTGAACGAATCGTTGTCGGGAAAGCGCCCGGGAAATTGGGCTGAGTCAATATTATCGCAGAGTTTTATATCCGTTCTGTCATTTTCCATTATTTTCCTCCATATATAAAAAAATATTTCTTTAATATTAGAGCGGGATTTTTTTTTCAGGTTTTTGGATGAATTTAAATAAATAAATTACCCCAGAGGGGGAGTTAAAAACAAATTTAATTAAAATGAAATGAGTAATTTCGGCTGACTAACGATGTCAGAAGTTACGATCGCGAAAATCAATATCTACGCGCATTTGTGATAATAAAATGTACGAAATGAAGATTTTTTAACGTTTTTAACGACACCGCGCGCATTCCGCGTATCTCGATGGTATTCGAATGCGTAATCGATGGACGGGGTATGCCATTGTATCGTTCCCCCTGGAAATTTTATGTATGACACTCGGCCAATAAGACAGTGGGATCGCAGTGATGGGCGCCGGAATGTAAAACGATGTAACTAGTTGTGGAATTCTAGTCATCCTGCATTCAAACCGAAACACCACCCACGTTGCATTTCTAGATTTGCGGTTCCACTCGCCCGTGCATCCTTAATCGGTTCGGTTTGCGGGTCTATTGATTCCCGGCGTTAACCGGATCCCGAATTCAGAACGCGAAATCGCCGCTTGATTGGCATTAATCACGGCTGCGAAATGCATTCCCGCCGTACTCGTTTGTATTATTGAATACGGCTCGCGATTACACCCGGCGCGATTTTTGTTCTTGAAATCGCTGTAGAATTCTCGTCAGCATAGCGGAAAACTTGACGAGAGTCGTGGCCGTTTTCTTAACATTAATTAAAGTTTGCGATGGGAACTTCGGGATATTAAATTATTCAGAACATGAAAGATTAGATCACAAAACTGCGGAGATAAAACGATATTAAATATGAACGTCGGGATGTTCGCGCTGAGCTGGATAAAATTTCACGAGTTATAAGGGATCAAACTTCCGATTAAATAAATTGAATCGGAGGGAGATGGCAGGAGGGGAAGGGGGAGGTGGTGCTGAGGACAGATTACATAAGATGTAAAGAAAAGAAACAGAAGTATTCAATTATATCCTAAGACAATTGATATTGGAAACATGTAATCCTCTTTGAATGTGGATATTGACGGAAGGGTAACCGAACTGATATCTTTTATTTCTTAAATACACTCTCTCTCTCTC